TCCTTACAGCTTGGAGTGGTCATGCACTCAGGGCTTTTTAAGCGTGCTAATTGGTGAAAATAACTCCCCCCACCCTTTTGGTACTGGGGATTAAACCCAGAGGCAATCTACCATAGAGCTATATCCTTGGTCCCTTAAGAAATTTATTTTTTTTTTTATTTTAAGACTAAGCCTCAAACTTACTTGTGCCCATCTACAAGTAAAAATATAAAAAAAAGACTAGGCCTCACTAAGTTGCTAATGCTGGCCTTGACCTTGAGATCCTCCTGCCTCAGCCTCCAAAGCCACTGGGATCACAGGCATGTGCCACTGTACCTGCCTATGAAAATAACTAAAACAGAGCTTGACACAGGGTGAACACCACATATGTGCCTGTTGCTGCTACTCTTATTATTTTAATTTTTTTCCTTCCCTTATATAAGGAAAACCTTTTTCTGTTCATTTCCTTCCTTCTGTTTAATTCATTGGCATGAGGATTTGAGACCTGGAGCTGTGGCAGCCATTTTGAGACAATAAAGCAGCAAGCTTGGGATATGAAGCTGTCATTCTGAGGAAGGCAGAACAAAAGATTAGTAACCTGAGGCTTTGCTGATATCAATAGCCATTGCTCTGGGCACCGGCACAGGCCTGTAATCCCAGCAGCTCAGGAGACTGAGGCAGGAGGATCTGGAGTTCAAATTCAGCCTCAGCAATTTACTGAGGCCCTAAGCAATTTAGCGAGACTCTGTCTCTGAATAAAATGTAAAAATAATAATAATAATAATAAAATAAAGGGCTGGGGATGTGGCTTAGTGGTTAAGCACCCCTGGGTTCAATCCCTGGTACCAAATAAATAAATAAATACGCCATTGCACCAAACCCCAGCCTTATATTAGATCACATGACTGAATGTCTTTATGCTTCAGTCATGATCATTTGGTTTCTGTTTCTTGCAGCCAGACGTAGCCCCCAAAACACCTCTGTATAGCCAGCATGAAACACAGAGAAGGTGGTCACTTCGTATTTAATAATAAAAAATTCAATCATATAGGACACTCCTGAGTTCAAGCATATGACTCTTCAATTATGGGTATTGCAGCTGGGGGTGGGGTATGAAGGGGTGGGCTCGGGAGGCTGAGACAGGAGGATCGCAAGTTCAAAGTCTGCCTCACAACTTCAAGGCACTAAGTAACTCAGTGAGACCCTGTCGCTAAATAAAATATAAAATAGGGCTAGGGTGTGGCTCAGTGGTCAAGTGCCTCTGAGTTCAATCCGTTAGTACCTCCCCCCCGCAAAAAAAAAAAAAAAAATCATGGGTATTTCTATGGAATAAAATAAATATGTCAATCTCTGGAGATGACAGACCTTAGAGAAGAGGCTTTGAACTGGATATATTTGGGTTCTGCCTGTCCATCATCCATTCCTTCTGGAAACAGCTCCCCAGTGTGCCCACCAAATGAAGGACGCCTGGCTCAGGTGTGATCAGTCGGAGCATGCCATCCCCAGGGCACGGTGACAACCTTCCCTGTCCTCTCCCATGACGGCCTTGGCTTGGGCTCTGCTCTCTGCTCAGGGCATTCCCATCCCTCCCCTACCATCAAGGGGGGTCTCTGAGTCTCTTTCCATCCACCCCATGTCTTAGCAAGTAACAGATCCCCCTTTTCCCAACCCCTCCCAAAGGAGTACAGGGATTTCTTTTCCTTGTATATGCCCCACAAACTTTCTCAACTTGGTGACTATTTGGGGATGAAACCAAATGAAATTGCCAATACTCTTCTCTTTCTTGAGGGGTGCTACTAGGGATTGAACCCAGGGGCACTCTTCCACTGAGCCACACCCCCAGCCCTATTTTGTATTTATTTAGAGACAAGGTCTCACTGAGCTGCCTCACTTTTGCTGAGGCTGATTTGAGCTCGTGATCCTCCTGCCTCAACCTCCCGAGCCACTGGGGTTACAGGCCTGTGCCTGGCTCCTGTACCCTTCTTAATATGAAAAAAGGGCAAGTTCATGTTGGTTAACCTAATATTAGCAACCCCCCTCCCCCAAGCCACACAACCTGAGCACGTGCCCCCCACTTGGCCAATCAAAGCATTCTATTCCCTTCGATGCCACAATCAGTGGGAGTGGGGAGGGCAGGTGACCTCATTTGAGCCAATCAGAGTCCTTCCCTGGGATTTTTCTCTTAGGACCAGAGCGCCTGCCATTTGACCTCTGGGCTACGGAAGGGCTGAGTCTGTACGGAAATGACCATGTTCCCCGGCACATGCAGCTGAACAGAGCTGAGAAGGAAGGAGGCTTGGCTCAGGGGTGTTCCTGTCCCTGAGTCCTGCTTCTTGTAGACTTACCCTTAATGCTGTTTCTTTCCCAGCTACATGAACCAAAACAAAAGTCACCTTTTCGTGCCTAATCCAGTTGAGCTGAATTTCTGTCCCTTGCCACCAAAAGGCCCTAACACTTGCCCTGATCCTTCAGGGTTCATTGGGCAGCTCCTCTGAGCTCCCCTCGCAGCCCTGATCCACAGCCATCTGCCTGTCTGAGTCACCATGGACACGAGTCACCACCGTCTCCAGTGCCCAGCACAGGGCCATGCACAGTGCCCAAATGTCACCCATGGGTGACTATATGCCCTCTCTCACTAGAGTGCCCATTCTCTGAGTTTAAAGCTTTAAATTTTGAAAAACAAGTATGACATTGACCTTGAGAACCATTTCCTATTAAATGAAGGGCTCGGGGCTCTAAAGGAAGATGGGCAGGGTGCCTTACACAGGGCAGGACAGGACCAGGGGGGCCCCAAACATGTTGGTGAGTAAATTCCAAGTTCTGAGATGGCAGTTCTTTACTTTGTTTTGAAGACAGACACAGCCCACTCCAGAGCTGGGGTCTCCATGGAAATCAAACCACATACTCGTGCAGAAAGCCCCCCACAGGCTTTCCACAGCTCTGAAACAACCTGCCACATCTTTTCTTTATTCTTATTATTGTTGAGGATGTTGTTGTTGTTATTGTTGAGGATGGAACCCAGGGGTGCTTAACCACTGGGCCACATCTCCAGCCCCTTTTCATTTTTAATTTTGATAGAGCCTTGCTAAGTTGCTGAGGCTGGCTTTGAACTGACAGTCCTTTTGCCTCAGCCTCTGGAGTTGCTGGGATTACAGGTGTGCACCACCTCGTCCAGCAACATGTCACTTCTTAATCACAGCCTATAAGGTTCTGCAGAACATGCTCTGTGCTTGCTTCTCCCATCTCATTCTTCCCCTCACTCCAATCCAGACAAGTCACCTCCAATACACCTAGCATACTTCTACCTCAGGGCCTTTGCACATGCTCTTCCCTTTGCCAGGAGTGCTTTCCCTCACAATGTATTTCTTCAGCTTTAATGCCACCCACATTCACTCCTCCCCCAACCTTAAATGGGTCTCATGGTCATACCCTGTGCCATCATCCTGTTTGCATTCTTTGCATGGCACTTATTTATCCTCATGCGCTATTTACTTCCTTATTTATGTTCTCCTCCCCTCTAGAGTAAAAGCTCCATAAGCCAGGGTTTTCTTATTGTGTTTTCTCTATTGTGTTTGCTGCTGTAGCCCCTGCAATGGGTCAGGCATGCAGCACATGCTCAATAGAGTTCTATTAAGTGAAATGAAGACAATATAAGTCTGATGGTTAGGTTGCGGGATTTGGAGGTGATCAACTGACCCATCATTGCTCTGCTCTTACCGGCTTCTGATCTTGGGCAAGCTCCTTAACCTGCCTGACCTTCAGTTTCCTCATCTAGAATACTGATTGCAACACGGCCCATCTTAGAGGCCCACACTGCACGCATCAGATGCAGGCTTTCAGTGTGATCTTGCTTATTATCAGAGTAACTCCACCTCGTGAGCGCCACGTATGGTGCACTGGGATCCACAGTCTTTATTGTTGCACCAGGAGGGTTGGGAGCTGGGTGCCTGGCTGGTGGGAAGCACTCGGTACCTGGCGTCGTCCTGACTGCTGCAAGTGAGTGTGGCCGGGCCCCTGGGTGAGGGAGCCTCTTGGCCTGTGCCTGACGTGCCTCTGTCCTTGCTGCCTCCCACCCTGTCTGCCCAGATTCATCCTCCTCCCTCCTGCTCTGTTTCTATTTTTGTCTTTCTCTCCTCCTCCCCAGGCCTCAGGGGGCCCCTCACTGGCTTGAGGCCTTCTTCCTGCTTCCCCAAGATGAGGAAGGAGTTTCCACTGCAGGGTCCCTGCAAGGGCTAGGGTGCCCCAGAGCCCCTAACCAGCCTTCTCTCCCCAGCCCAGCCCTCAGCCTCACCTAAGACAGCCCCCTCCCACATCACCTCACATTCCCAGCTGACCCCGTCTCCACCTAGGACCCCTCAGATTCCACATCAGTGACTTACCTAGGCCCCCGCCCACCCCATCACTATACTGGCTTTAGATAGCTAAATTCAGCTGAAGTCATTAGGGCCATTTCCTGGCCTCCACACACAGCTACCAGAGGCAACCTGCCAGCTCCACTATATATTCATGGGGGTGGGGAGGCAGGGGAGGGGCCCTTGGGCAAATGATTTTACCTCTCTCTGGTTCAAAATCCTGTCTGTAAAATGAAACAAGGGGCCGGGTGCAGTGGTGCACGGCTGTAATCCAGCAGGAGGCTGAGGCAGGAGGATCACAAGTTTGAGGCCAGCAACTTAGGGAGACCCTGAGCAACTTAGTGAGAAGGCCACTCAAAATAAAAAATAAAGCCCAGAGTCGTGGTGCATGCCTGTAATCCCAGCAGCTTGGGAGGCTGAGGCAGAAGGATCAAGGCCAGTCTTAGCAAATTAGCAAGGACCTAAACAATTCAGTGAGAACCTGTCTCTAAATAAAATGTAAATCCAGCCAGATACAAGGGATGTGACTCAGTGGTAAGAGCCCCTAGGTTCAATCCCTGGTATGTATGTATGTATGCATGAATAAATAGATAAATGGGCTGGGGACGTAGCTCAGTGGTAAAGCACCCCTGGGTTCAATTCCCAGTACTAAAAAAAAATAATAAAAAACAAAGAACAAAGGCCTCCCACCTCACACAGTTGTAGGGGCTCAGAGAGTCAAAAATTCAATGACCCTCAGCAGAGTGCTGGGGTTATGAGGACAGACCCAGAAGGCAGGCCACCTGCCTTTCAGTGTTGAGATGGAGTTAGGCTGGCCTAAACTCCTAGGTTCCCATGATCCTCTGTCTCAACCTCCCAAGTAGCTGGGAACACAAGTGTGTCCCCAGCTTCCACTCCACCAGCCTTTTAAAATGCCAATTTTGCCACCTTCTGCTTCTGTCACCCTGGGCCGGTTAACTTTTCTGGACCTCAATTTTTCACCTGTACAATGGAATGACAATACTATACTGATGTCCAAAGCTGGTTGTGAGGATTAGATGACTTAAGTGCTTAGCCCATAACGGGCATCTCCCTATGTGTCAGCTTCTATTCCCAATTTGCTTGTGTGATTATCCCCTCCCCCCTAAGTCTCTCAAAAGATAGGAAGCTGTCTGCCAGTCCTCCCGGCCCGTTAGTCATCTTCTTTCACTCTGACTTAGGAGTCCTTATGCAGCTATCTAGGTCATCCCCCCAAGACACATGACACACACTGGTCAGCAGAGCGGCCTCAGACACAGAAAAAAGTTTAATTCTGCTGCGGCGGAGGGTCCCGGCTCCGGTAGGGAGGGGGATTTGGTTTTGAATTTTGTTGGTGTGGGGATTTACTGGGGGGAACAAGGGAGGCTGGGGAGAGTCTGGTCCTTCCAGTGGGACCTGCCCGGGAAAATGGGTGATGGGGAAAGGAAATGGGGAGTCGGGGAGACTGGACAAAACAGGGACAGAGGGAGAAGAGACACGACGCGGGGACAGGGAAAGGAGAGACAAGTAGGGAAGGACAGAGACGAAGAGAGACGACAGAGGGAAGGACAGAGACAGACGAGCGGAGAGAGAAAGGAAGACCCCAAGCCAGACCCGAGGGGACCAGGGAGTAAGTGGGGGGGGTGGGGGGGGCTTTGGAGGCCGCCGCGGGACAGAATAGGATCTAGTCCAGCCAGATACAAGAAATGGGCCCCTCGCCCCTGCCCCGGGTCCCGGGCTGGGGGAGGGGGCTCGTGTCTCAGTGCTGCAGTGTGGGGGGGCCTGCCCCTCCCCGCGCTTCGCTGTGTAAGGCACCGGCTCCAGCGAGGTCCGCGAGCGCGCGGGGGGAGGGGCAGGAGGGGCGGGGCCTGAAGGGGAGGCCGGGCCCGCCCCCAGCCCCTGGCGCGGGGGCGTGGCCTCCAGCCCGGTCGGAGGCCGCCCCGCCCCTGGCGGAGGAGAAGCCAGGTCTCCCCTCTACTCCGACGGCCCGGCGCTGCGCGTTCTCCCCGAGTTCCGCCCCGGCGTCCGGGCGGCTGGGCGTTGGTTCTCGGCCCCAGGCGTCCCGGCGCCCGCCCGCCGCTCACACGGTACTCTCCAGCATCCACTCGGTGCTGGTAAAGGCCAGGCGCGCCCTGGCGGAGCCCAGCCCCAGGTCTCCATCCTCCCCGGCCGCGCCCCCTCCGGCCCCGTCCAGGTGCGGCGTGGACCGGTGGCGCTTTGTCCGCCGGGCGCGGCGCGGGTAACTGTGGCTCTGAAAGAGTGCCCCGTAGTCCCCGTCGAAGGAATAACGCTGCTGTGGCCTCGGCCGAGCCGGGGCGCCCCCAGGAACCAGAGCTAGAGTCGGGGGCGCTGAAGCTGGCGGCCCCAGGGCCCCTGAACGGCTCCTCCGAGGACCTGCCGCGGCCCGACATTCCTCCCCAGAAGTTTCCTCGGAGGGCAGCAGGCACAGAGAGGTGGCCGAGCCGCCCAGCGAGCGTCCTAAGACCGCCTCCGGCTCCGCAGAGGCCGCCTCCACCGCGGAAACCTTGGCCTCAACGGCGACGGCTGGGGTGGCCACCTCGCGCAGCGCCTCGTAGCGGTCCTGCGCAGGCGGCGGTGGGGCCTGCTGCGCGCCTGCGCCGCCGTTGGTCTGCGAGCACACATGGCTGACCCGTGGGGGCGACCTGGAGGTGCCCTTGACCCGGCGGCCATCCCCGTCGCCATACACCTTGTAGCGAATCATGAGCAGAACGATGAAAACGAGGACAGAGGCGACGATGACACCCCCGATGGCGATGATCATGGTGCCGCCCAAGAAATGGGCCCTCAGCGGGCGGCAAGGTGCAGGATCCCCAGCCGTAGTGAACTGCACGCAGCCCACCACTCTCGTGGCCGGCAGAGCCGTGGCCCCGTCGTCGTAGACTGCCAGCACGCACAAGTCGTAGGCGCGACCTGCCGCCAGATCATTCACCAAGAAGGTCTGACTGGTGGACGGGATCATCCTGCAGGAGGGGGCAGGATCAGGGCAGAGTTAGCCCTACTCTTGAACCGCGTCCTTTCACTTTATTCCCCACCCCTGGTGAACAGTGGGGACTGAACCATACTTCCTGTGTCTCACCCCCAACCCAGACGGCAGCAGCCATCCTCCATCAGCCTATATACCCAGGCTTACGCGACCACTGCTACAGGTCACCCTCTCATCTGCATGCCTCGACCTCAGACACACCTGGCTCTCTGAGATGCTATCAGCCATTCATTTGGATGACTACATCCTGGCTCCCGCATGGGAAGAGCGCTTCATCTTACATCCCCTGTTCTCATGGGACATGCTCCCTCAGAGCGTCTCACCATTCAAACTCCCTCATCTGCATATATCTAGCATACATGGGACTGGTGCTACGGGCCACACCCCTTATCTATATGCCCCACCCCCACATCAGTGGATACCCTGTTCAACAACTCACAAACCCTTATTCCCACTGGGACAAACGATGATTTCCTAGTTTCTCTTTTATACATATTTCTGCCTTTCAGGGGAAACCATGATGCAGGTCACACTCCCTCATCTGTATGCCCCACCTTTGGGTAAAACATAGCTTCTGGGTAAAACATTTACTTCTGGCACAATTTCCAAATGCCTCAAGTAGGCATTCCAGCTCATTAAGGGGCCACTGCTACAAGCTACTCTGCTTCTGACTGGAGTGTGGCTTCCAAGCCGCACCCCACAAGGCCATCTAGGGATGCTTCCCTCCGGTGCTTCGGATCGCGTGCACCCTTTGCATGCCCTGCTCTTTGTCCAGGTAGTAGAGGCAGCCACCCCTTATGTGCATGCCTAACTCCGCCACCAGAAGTCACCATATCATGCTTCCAAACATTCATCTTTAATTGGGTCAAATGTAGCCAGGCTCACATGCTCCTTTCCTGCAACAGGTCCCTCCCCTCAAAAGAGGAGGAGTATAGAGAAGTGGCTAAAAGCCAACCAAACCTGGGAGCCAGACTGCCTGGTTTTGATATCTCCTCTGCCCCTTACCAGCTCTGTCACCTCAGGTAAGTTTCTTAACCTCTGGGCATCATTTTCCCTTACAGAAATAATAGGAAACCCCACACCATAGAGATGGTGTGGGGAGTGAATGAGTTCATACATCCAAAGTCTGGCTCTTAATAACACCATTACTTGATGTCCCACCTAAAGTGGCCAGAAACCCTTGCTGGGGTTCCCACTCTACCTCGAGTTGCACTCCTCCTTGGCTATAAGACTCTCCCCTCTGGAGGACATTCCTCTAGGCCTTGGTCCCCTTCTATTGAGCACATCCTTTCCACCCTGTTGGCCACGTCCAGCCTCAGCTAACCCAGGACTGCCAGTCCACACCAATTTGCACACCCAACACCCAGCTTCACAAGCTCTTCTCTCCTACAAGGCCTCTGAGTGGCTCACCAGGGACTGGAACCACACCTTCCTCCACCTGGGACCATGCGAAACAGCTGCAACACTGCTGAAAGGCCCTGCCCATCTCCAGGAGCTGCATACCTCTCCAAGGCCCTCTTCCCCTCCAGCAGGGCCACCTTCTGGTCCTGAAGCCCCACCCCCAGTCATCCTGCCTCCCAGGGCCCACCACCATGAGCCACCCTCCCACCCAAAGACTTCAAGTATGGCCACACCCCCAAAAGGGCCATCTCTCCCACTTTTGCAGACCAGTGCCAGCCCAGCCAACACCCTTGGCCTCTGGCTTTAAGTCTCCCTTGTCCCTCCTCATCTCCTGTCTTTGAGCCTTGGATTCCTCTTGCTTCTTCCCCTAAATAACCAGTTGCTAGGGGCTCCCCCCTTTTCAAGGACAGAGGCGGGCTCCTTAAGGAAGCTTGGGCCCATGTGTCTCTAATTGGCTGCAAGACCAGAGCAAGCAGCTGAGCAGGCTTCTGGTTGGATGTCACCTCCACCCATGGCGGCAGTGAGGAAGTTAACCCCTGCAGTGCCACAGTGCAGGCATCTGCAATGGAGTTCCTGAATGAAGAACAGGAACTGAGGCCCTAAGGAGAAGAGAAAAGTCCCCAGCTGAGGACAGGGGACCATCAACATCAGTATATATTCAAGGTTTGGGGCCTTGAACCTTCCCCCATCCTGCCAGATGGTAGCCATGGGTCAAAAAGAAGCAAAGAAACAGGTGGAGACTCACAAAAACTGAGTCATTTACAGAAATGTATTATCCACCTCCCCTCCACCCTGCCTGGCAAACAGTAGGTGTTCAGTAAGTGTGTGTCTGCATAAAAAGGACAGCTCTGCTATTCCTGTGTGACCAAGGGGAAGTGCCTTTCTCCATTGAGCCTCAGTTTCTCTGTTATAAAATGAGGAGAGGGCAGGGGGGGCATGGCAGAGCACTTGCATCACAATCAGGCCACCTGGCATCACAATCCCCAGCACCACAAAAAAATCAGCAAATCAAATCAAATCAGCTTTGCAACAGAGCTGGGAGTCAGCTGCCAGCTCTGGAGGTGTCTTATGAAGCTCTTTGTCTCATTCATTGTCTACTCTTGGGACACTGGGCCAGTCTATCTCAGTGGGCCCTGGGACCAGCACAGGATCTGACACACAGTAGGCATTTACTCAGTGTTTGGTGACCAGAATTGAGACAAAAATGAGGAAACCAGACAAGGGGAAAGAGAGGCATGTATGCATGCAGCCAACAGTGGGAATAGGCCTGCTCCATGCCAAGACCGTGGCCCAGAGAGCCAGGCGAGGATGGGGAGCAAAAGACAGGCCTTTCCGGGAAGTTTCCGCATTCCCAACAGCCGGGGCTACCCACAGTAGGGAATGGCTTTGGCCACTGTGGCATCCACAAGTACAGTTAAGCGCGAGGCAGGCACTCAGCAGCCCCTCTGCAGTGTGCACGAGGGAGAAGCATCTGTGAAGCCATCGGCTGTTCATGAGTGCCCACTGTGTGCCCATCTGTAGCCAAGAGTCATACTGAAAACTACCCCGATGGAGAGACACTGCGGGGCCATGACAGTGATTTGTGGTGCATGTAGGGCCCTGAGGGCAAGGACTGGATCTCTTGGTCTCCTTGGGTCCCCAGCACCCAGGTCAGGGCCTAGCACAGAGCAAAGTCTAAGTGCCTTCATGAGGAGAGAGAGAAGGTAGAGCAGATGGAGAGATTCAAGCAGGGAAGTAGGAGACAATGGGAGGAAGTAACTCCTTTGTCTGTCCATGCCGTCACACCAGGACAGTGACTTCCAACCCACGGGAGGGTGGAAATAACTTATATTTTTGTCATGCACTTTGTTTTCTAGGCTGGGGTTGTAGCTCAGTGGTAGAGCGTTGCCTAGAATGTGTAAGGCACTGGGTTCAATTCTCAGCACCACATATAAATAAAATAAAAGTCCATTTTTTCTGTCTCTATGATATACCCAATGTGTTGGTATAGTACTTATAATTCTATAATTCTGTTTATAATTTATGAATAGGAATCTATGTGTGTGTGTGTGTGTGTGTGTTTGGTGCTCCCAAATGTGTAACTGATGAGGTGCACAATCAGACACCTTTGGTGAGCAGTGACATTGACCATGCATCAGGTGACAGAGGGATCACAGTGAGCTCCTTCACTCTTATGACTCCAGTGCCCAGCCCTAGTCTTGCTCATGTAGGTGCTCAACAAATATTTGCTAAATGAAAAGAAAACAAAGACAGTCAGGACGAAGGAGAGTGGAGAGAGGAGACGGGGACTGAGATGACCCTGCAAGGCCATCCAGAACCCCAGCTAAGCAAGAAGGCCACGGGAATCGGCTGGTGGGAGGAAGGGACCCTGGGCTGGGAGGAGATGGGGGTCGCAGCACCCACACCCACCTGTAGACGAGGGAGTCATCCACGGAGCTGTTGTACTGGACCTGGTACATGCGGATGCCAGGCACGGGCCTCTGGGCGGGCCAGCGGATGAGCACGGAGCTTGAGGTGAGTTCGGCTGCCACAAGCCGTCGCTCAGCAGCTGAATCGTTGGCACCAGGTCGGCCAGGCGTGGCGATGTCAGAGGAGCCAGGCTCGGTGAGAGGCGGCGGGGCAGCGGGCGGGGGCGCCATGAGCGGCAGAGGTACCACGCACACCTCCACAGGCGCGGTGGCTTCCCCCGCAGCATTGGAAGCGATGCAAGTGAAGGTGCCACTGTCCCTCAAGGTAGTGATGGTCACATCCAGCGTCCCGTCCCCACGGACCCGGGTCCGGCTGGAGTTCCCCAGCAGACGCCCATCTGGCGCCACCCAATGCACCACAGGCTCGGGGTCCCCCACAGCCCGGCAGCGCAAGCTGACAGCTTGGCCCTCCACCACCAGGGCGCGGCCCCCCGCCTGCCGCGTGATCAGCGGAGGTTCACACAGAAACTCCTCCTCTGGGATGGACCAGAAGTAGCGGTCGGTGAGGTGCTCGGGGGTGGCGCAGGTCTCCAGGTCGTCCTCCCGGGTCAGCCGCCGCAGCCAGAGCAGCTCGCAGTTGCAGTGGAGCGGGTTCCCGCCGAAGCTGACCGTCAGCGGCGTGGGGGGCTTGGGACCGCTGCCTTGGGACCTTAGGAAGAGCCCGTCCGGGGGAAGTTTATGGAGGCGATTAGAGGTCATGTCCAGGCGCACCAGTTTATGCAGCTGCACAAAGGTCCCCTCGGCGATGTGGTCGATGAGATTGTGGTCCAGGGTGAGGGTGTTCAGGTTCACCATCTGGCCCACTGCCTCCCAGGGCAAGGCCTCCAGGTTGTTGTAGGACAGATCCAGGTCCTCCACCGTGGACAGGAAGGCGTCGAAGGCAGCCGACTCCACCCTGCGGATCTGGTTGTTGCCAAGGATCAGGTGGCGGAGGTTGCCCAGGCCCCGCAGCTGGTCGCCGCGCACCTCCGCCAGGCGATTGCTGTCGAGGTGCAGGGCGCGGAGGGCGCGGAGGTCGGCAAAGGCGCCGGCCGCCACCTGGCCGATGGTGTTCCGGGAGAGGGTGAGGTGCACCAGGCTGGTCATGTTGGCGAAGTCTCGGCGGCGGACCGCGGCAATGAAGTTGTCGGTGAGCCGCAGCTCCACCACGCGACGGTCGATGGCGGGTGGCACGAAGAGCAAGCCCGTCTTGGCGCACAGCATGGTCAGCGTGGGCGCCACGTTCTGACAGATGCAGCGGCCAGGGCAGGGCTGGCCTCGAGATGCCCCCGCCCAGAGCAGCAGCAGAAAGGACAGGGCAGCAGGTGGCGGCGAGAGGAGCGCCGAGGAAAAGGGACCTGGAGCCATGGCGCAATGAAACAGCGGGAGGAGCGGGAGGTGAGACCTGCAGGGAAAGATACAGTTACCCACGCTCAGGGCTCCTGGGAAGTCCTGCTAAGAGTCAGGCCCGGTTTCCTCCCCGCCAGATCACTGTATCCTATAGGACAGCGACAGGACTCACCATCCGCCCGCATGCATTTCCTATTAACAAATTACAATATTTCACGCTGGTCGGCATATTCCCACTGCTCCTCCCTTGAGTGTCCCACCCAACCCCTGTCCCTCCTCTAGGTGCTCCCAGACCTTTTACAACCTCCTGATCAGACACCTGGCCCAGCCTGGTACCTTCCATACCCAACAAATATTTTGAAATAACTATTGACTGTAGTTTAAGGCCATGGATATCAAAGCCGGACTCTCTGAGCTGAAATCCAAGCTGTAGTACTTACTAGCTGTATGACCTTGCGCAAGTGTCTGAACCTTTCTGAATCTCGGTTTCTTCATCTGTAAAATGGAGATAGGAATAAGTCTTACTTTTTTGACTATAATTTGGGTTAACAAATACGGCAGACTTAGAACAGTGCTTGGCATGTAAATTGGGATCAATACATGCTAGCAGTGACCGCCATCATCATCATTGAGTGCTTAATGTGTACCAGGCACAGAACTGTGCGCTATTATTAAAAGCAAGTATAATAAAATCAAACAGATTCAAGTGCAAATCCTGGTTTCCCCTGTGGCTAGGTCTATGACCCCACACCAGTGACTCCCCTATTTCCCCACTGTAATTTCTTGATTCATAAATGATGGTCACCATGCATAGGAATGACTGAACACAGACCCTGACATACAGTAAACACTCAATAAACATTAAGGTCTCCCACACACACACACTTTTGCAGGGAGGGGCAGAGAGAATGTTCAAGTAGGAGGGGCTGAGGAAAAGACATCAGTCTCCCAGCTTAGCCTCAGGAAGTCCCTCTATGAGTCTGGCTTTGTCCTAGGCTTAGCTGAGTTCCTGAGCAGGGCCAACTTTGGTGCTCACATCAGTAGGTACACACGAGGCCCCATGCATGCCTACACACACACACACACACACACACACACTCATGCTATGCCTCTGCTCCAGGCAAAACCTTCCGGCAGGGATTCCCCCTGCGGCGGCTACAGCCCACGACATGTCATTTCCCATCACAACACAGGGTGGGTGGGGGGTGCAGAGGAAAGGATGGGAAGGGGCCGTCCCAGAAACTGCTTTCATCCCACCCTGCCTTGTACCCTAACCCCTGCTGGCCTCCTCCCAGAATCTGCCTGGGAGCAGTGGCCATGTGAGTCTTGATCTTTCCGCCTGTGGGAGGGGAACTGGGACCAAGAAGTCAGAGAGCTGTAGAGAGGCAGGGAGGGACAGGGGACAGAGATGGACTGGCAGGAACAGATAGACTCGGAGAAAGAGGCAGAAAAACAGGAAAAGTCTCAAAAGAAGACGGTGCAGGGGGCGTGGCTCGTAGTAGACCCCAATGGGCATGTTCCAGGCCCTGGCTCCTCCCCAAGCACCTCAAAAGATCAATCAATCAATGTGAAAAGATGGGGTGACACTGAAGCAGAAAGACAGAAAAACTGAGAGTGGAAAGACAGGGGACAGAAGGACTGAGAGAAAGGGAGAGAGGAAGCAGAAGGGAGATAAGTAGAATAAAAAGGCCTTGGACAAAAACAGAGGAAGAGGAGTCAGAGATGGGGGGAGATGGTGACTGGGCTGAAGAGAGAAAATGAGACCGGGTCCCGGCACCCCACCACCTCTGAGCACCCACCCCCAAGTATCCTTCTCTCCCTCTAGGACACTGTTCTGGATTGACTGAAATTCCTGGCCTAGAAAGTGGGGTTCCAAGGACAGGAGCCCAGCTCAGCCCCTGCTTGGCTGTGAGGTCTCCAGCGCTCAGAGCCCAAGCTTTGCAACAAGCACAGAGTTTTGTCAAAAGTGTACACTCCCTCAGCCAGAGAGGGACCCAAAGGACCCACAGCAGCAATGACAACAGTGAACATTTATTGAACGGCCCTGCGGTACTGCAGGACAGGACCTGGACCCCACTGCCTGGGTTCCCACCCCAAGTTCCCGCTGTGTGACTTTAATCAGGTGACTCCTCCTCTATGCCTCAGTGTGCTCATCTGTAAAAAGGGATAACAATGGGACCTACCTCCCAGGACTGTTGTGAGGATTCAGTGAGATCATATTTTATAATATGTTTCTAGTTCCCGACAAGGAAACCCTACATAAATGTGAGCGGCTGCTGTTATTATTATTACTATTATTAATTTATTACTTTCTCTTACTCTCTCTCAGCTACCCAGCAGGTTGGAATAGCAGGTCTTCCCCACACACGTCCAAACACATCTCATATCCACATCCAAGCCATTATTCATTTTGTTTCCTGAAACCCTCTTGTACCCATTTTGATATCCTGAGGGAACCCCTATTTCCTGACCACCTTTTATCCATCCTGTGAGGAGATGCCTCCTGGCCTGAGACCCACCCCTGCCTCAGAGCCTCCTGAATGCCATGAGCCAGACATAATGCTCCTGGGCTGGCCACCATTTCTCAGCCTGGGGCTGGAGTAGGCAGGCATCTGGCCCCTCTGGACACTGCTGTACCCTGTGCCGGGATTCCTGCTGGGCAGGGCTCTCGACTCTAGCAGGTTGGACAAGCCCCATCACCCCACATCTCTCTCCCTGGCTCAAGGGCTCTACTCACCTCTCTTCAGCAAGTCAGGGCCTGGGCCAGTACCTGCAAAGGAATAAAACCCTCCTGTTAGCATCCTGAGGCTCCTTCCTAGGCACCAGGGCAGGGCTTGGGGGATCATCTGAGCAAATGAAATCCCTGGTGTGATCAGTCCCCCAGCCTTCTGCAGCAGTTCTCCAGTGTCTCAGAGGCCCCAGAAGTCATCTCTGAAAACCTAGGAGACTGAGCCTCAGGACTGTTGATTCTCCAAAACCCAGGAGTCCAGGATGTTGGCCACCAACTCCCCACCCGCCTCTTCCCTTAAGATCCTGGAATATGGGATTTTCTCCCTTCTCTCTCAGACCCAGGACTCTAAGTTCCCAGGCTCTCAGGAGTTCAGATCAGATGCTTCCTCCTTTAGGACTCAAGGGTTTACATCCCAGTTCCCCA